GGGGGTGCCAGGTAATAAGTCAATCGCGCAGTCATAGGGACGGTGAGGAGGAAGTGACAAGGCGCGTTGTTTACTAAAGACGGCCGCTAGGTCGCGGTATTCTGCAGGGACCAAGGTAAGATCGATCTCCTCTAGAGGAGGCGTGTCTCAAGGGAACTCTTTAACAGCGGAGCGCAGACAATTGCTGAGGCACTTGTCGCTCCATTTATCAATACAGCCACGCTCCCAGTTAATAACTGGGTTATGGTTACGAAGCCAGGGGAAACCTAGAATTACTTGGGGTGTACGAGAATTGAATATAAAGAAATCTGTCATTTCGTGGTGATTTCCAGAGATTATGACATGTAGCTCGGTGGTTTTAAATGAATACGGGTCAAAGTGTCCCCGGTTAAGCCGGCGACAGAAATTGACGGAATCTCGCGAGTGGGTAGAGAATACTCCTTAACTAAATCGGAGCTAATCAAATTTTGTTCAGCACCTGAATTATGTGACACGCACAGCCACACTGCGTAAATCTGAACAATTGTTTGCACATTTCAGAGAGCGATCACAGGGTCAGCCTTTATCTTCCCAGTGTCTGTCACATTAGTTATGTGAAGCCTATAGTTCTTCCGGTCTTCAACTACCTGAAGGACTCGGGGCTCATTCCACAAGGGGTATTTCTACTTCCGCAGCTCTGCACAGAGGGGTGTCTGTACAGGACATCTGCTCTGCAGCTTCACGGTCATCACCAACCCCCTTCAACCATTTTTATTGACAAAATGTCTCCAGCTCTTATTTGACACATTTGGTTCTCAGAGTTATGTCAGGGTGATCCTTCACAGTCACACAACTGTTTAAAAAAAAAAAAAGCACAGCCCTGCTCTATTAGTGGGCGCTTTTTTCTGCTTTTACTCGTTCAAGCAGGAAAACTTCCTTTTTTTTCCCTCATTGGAAGTTCTCTTCTTATTCCTCTGGTTGCCTGATATGAATAAACATTCCTTCAGCCAAGATCAGGCACAGAGGCTACACGCTTGTCATCCAGTACGCACCAGTACATGGATCAGCGGTGCGTAATTACGCTTGAATGGAGAATGGGTTTTTAATCAGATATCGGTGTGTTTTATGGTTCTCGGGCAGACCCAGTGAGGCATGCATCATATCCTGCTCCACCCTTTAAACCCAATAGCGACTGCTTTTAAAGGGCATAGCTTACATGAAATAGAACGTTGGTTACGTATTGTAACCCCAGATTCTATGAGTGTAAGCGTAGCCCTTTAAAAACTGGGCCTCACTGGCTCTCAAATGGCTGAAGAAAGGAATATGCCTTTTGGGAGTCGATCGCTGGTCAGATGCAATTTATAATGGACCGGGTGGGGCCCACACAGTAGGTGGGCGTGCACTAGAAGTTTTCACTGTTCGGCGCGCTGAGCGTGGCGTAAACCCAGTAGCAACAGCTTTTAAAGGGCTATGTTTACACTCATAGAATCTGGGGTTATAATGCGTTACCAACGATTTTTGGGGTACTTGTACTTTTATGAGTATTTATTTTAAGTGTGCAATTTTACTCTTAAGTACAATTTAGACCATGTAATCTACTTCGCTACTTTTAAAATCAGAAGTTGCTACTGAGTACGGCTGCAATTTGAATTAATATTCAAACCATTCATCTGCATCTTTGTAGCCAATAAGGCTTTCAGATTGCGAGCGCGCCAATTACCTATGACATAAACAAAGGACAACTCCATAGAGAGTCATTTATGGACCGAAGATTTGGAGAAAAGGCCAAAATGGGGATAGAGGACAACACTGTCAACAGAAAAAATGATAAGGTAAAGGCTGAGGACGAGTGCCCGTGGCCGTACCTGGAGAAATTTTTCATGTACAGAGGTTGAAAAAGAGACAGCGTCCAGATGCAAAGTTTGTTTGATCTCTACGGTGACAGCAGCTTGCAATACTCAAAAAACACATTGTGGTAAGAGGTTTTACAACTACCTGTATGATTTTGCTTTTTTATTGTTTGTATGTGTGGATTATTAGTTTGACTAAGTATGCAAAAATCTTAGACATTGTCACTGCCATCGGTTTGTCTGATACTAAAATAAGATGAAGCTTTAGGAGCCTACTCTGCTCCTGTTTCCTGGAATATCTTGCAAAAAGATCTGAAGCTCTCGACCATTACCTCTAAGTGGCTTTAAACATTTGCTAAGTTCCTGGGAAAAACCAGTGCCGACATGTTCTTGTTTTTAGTTTTCTACATCGCCTTCAACATAGCTGGGTTTTTTTCTTCTGTTATTACATTTTCTTTTAAATACAATTTTCTCTTGTTCTTAATTTATATGCATCCTTTATGATCGTCTATTCTTGCCTTTGTTGTCCAGTGTTGTCATCACTTTGTTAAAATCAGGTCTCTTGTAAATGAGTCGAGGCTCAATGGTATTAACCTGTCTAAATAAAGGTTGAATGAAAAAAATAAATAAAAGCATTTTCTCTGCTAAACTAACTGCAAATAATTTACACATACGCTGTCCGTGACCCGCCCTACCGCTACTTCCTGCGTCGGACCGGAAGTTGCGCACATATTCATTTCTACAGTAGAGGCACCAGGAATAACGTGGATAAATTTGCAAAAACAAACACCACCTTCTCATTATCAGATGTTACATGTGTAACTTCTGAGGTGGAAAAATTAATTGATCCATTTTGGAATAAGGCTGGAACAGAATGTGGAAGGTGAAGCACTGTGTACTTCCCAGATGCACTAACAATAAAACTACAATATTGCTTTACAGCCAAAATCTGTATTATGACCGATCGGGTAAAAAAAAAAAAAGAAGTAAAAAATCAAAGCTCATCATATTGGATAAATGTGATCTTGTGGTTTCAGTTGAATTCAGTTAATTGTGCCACTTCACAACAAACGTAATCTCAGCGCTCTGTATAAAAACATTCACAAACATCATGACTTGCCAGTAAAAGTTGTCTAAGGAAGCAGATCCTGAGCAGCGTGGAGACCGTGGATCCTCTGGGCTGCAGGAATCTCTCATCATTCTTTATTTAACTGCATTATTGTTTTCTTTTGTGGTTCTTTCATGAAAGAGTCCTAAAAACTACATTCTTATCCAGAATAATAAGCAGTATAAGTGTAGGTTAAGCATCTGCAGACATTCAAAATGTTTACACCAGTGAAAAAATATTGCTAAAAAAAAAACACTTGAGCAAAGTAAAATATCCATCCATCCATTATCTTTACCCGTTTATTCCATTTTGGGTCACGGGGGTCACCGGTGCCCATGTCCAGCGATCACTGTGCGAGGGGTGGGGTACACCCTGGACGGGTCGCAAGTCCATCACAGGGCCACATAGAGACAAACAAACATTCACTCTCTCACTCACACCTAGGGACAATTTAGAGTTACCAATCAGCCTAACATGCATGTTTTTGGTCTGTGGGAGGAAACTGGAGCACCCGGAGAAAACCCACGCATGCACGGAGAGAACATGCAAACTCCACCCAGAAAGGCCCCTGGACTGGGGTTTGAACCAGGGACCTGTTCACTGAGAGGCAGCAGCTCTACCAGTTGCGCCACAGTGCTGCCCCTCAAAGTAAAATATGACAAATATTATTTCAAATTGTTTTTTTCTTCTTCCTTCAGCTGCTCTCTAAATTTTTTTAATTACTTTATTTTACCAGGCAGAAATCCACTGAGATCATCAATCTCTTTTTTACAAGGGCATCTTGTCTTCAGGGGTCGCCACAGCAAACTAACTCGCACGAAGACGTGGCAATTATTTTTATGCCGGATGTTCTTCCTGACTCAACCACAGACACCGAGCTACCACAGCCCTCTGTGTGGAGAAGAGAGCTGCCATCCAGGGCGCCTGGGGGAGCAGATGGTGGGGGGTTAAGGGCCTTGCTCAAAGGCCCAGAGTGAGGCAAATGAGGGTGGAGGCAGGTGTGGGTGTTTCACCTATTCCACCCATATTTTGATGTTGTCGGTACCGGGAGTTGAACCAGTGACCTTCCAATCACATGCCCACCTTCTCTAACCTCTGCGCCACCACTCCACATGTTTTAGGAATTGACATCACTGTCATCTCAAACCAAAGAGGCAACTGACAATTCTTTAAAACGTTTTTTTAATGAAATGTTTTGTAAAAAAAAAAAAAAAAGTACAAAAAAACTTTACTGCACATGAAAACTTAAAGAAATACATAAATAAACAGATCAAACCATAAAAATGTCTTTAGGGATCAATAAAAACGGTAAAAGTGCAAACAAAGCCAGCTGCTCAAAACTCAAAAGAAGGAAAGTTATTGCTGAATATAAAAGAGAAGTGCGCTTAAAGAAGATCCACAACTCTAGAAATGTGAAATCATTTGATTTCAGCTGTAGCCATGAATTACTTTTTCTTTACAACAGTTATAAAGATTTACGTTTTACACCTGAGATATTACGGCACGTTTCCACAGAGCCCTCACTTTGCAAATCCTGTCACGTAATGTGAAAAGTTAAAAGTAATGCCACTGAAGGTGTGTTGACAAAGAGCTCCTGAAGATTGTTGGCCTTAAAGGTGATTTGTACATTTTAACGTCAGGAAAACGTTCAGGTGTTATGCTCAAGATCACACACAGAAAAATCATAAACGCTCAGCTTAATAATTTAGGGGCTATAATAATTAAAATATAATTTAGGATGCAGATTGGGTTTACAGTGAAACACAAAAAGAAGCTTCACTCGAGTCTTTCTCCAGGTTTGTTGAAGTAACGTCTCATCAGATGTTCCACAGATGATCAGGAAAGCTGCCTGGGGGGGTGGGGGTGGGGGGTGTCTAATGCAGATATCTCACTGAGCTGCAACTGTTGGACACTAGTTGGGAGTGAGTTTCCAATGATAACGATGGTGGAGGTGGGGAACTAATTTAATGCAGTTTGTAACCGTGCACACAAAAACGTCTCAAAAACCATCTCGGCTTGTTTGTCGCTTGATTGACTATTTTCTCACCACTGAGTCACCTACTAGTCTCTAGGAGTTGCTGCGCAGTGAGACACTACTTTAAACCAGTTTACCCAGCAGGAATGACAGAGATGCTCCCAGAGCCAGGCCTAGAACCAGGAAGAAGGTCATGAGAGAGCCCGCCGTCTCACAGTCTCTGCATCGCACCAACCTGTGGGACAGAGACACAGTCAGGGCGTCCACCACACATCAGTCTGAGGACGGAGCTGTAATTCACAGCTGGACATGAAGTCACATGAAACATAACAGAGTTCCAACTGGGTTCAGTTTTAATTTCTTTAGAATTGGTACCACATTTATTTGCAATGTTTTCTTAAAACACCTGATTTCAGTGGCTCGTAATGTAATAGTTTGTGTGTGCAAAACTGCACTTTCTGTTTCTTCTCTTTGGCAGCTTTCTTCAAATGTGTGAACGTCTGTTGCAATAAACAATAAATCAATTAACAGCATAAGTGAAAATTATCAACTTCATTTTAATTTATCAGCTTTATCGTTTCTTCGTGTCTCTCTTTCCACTGAAGACACTGGATGACAAAAGGCTCAACTCCAGTGTTCTGCACTGACTCCTCCCTTTCTCTTTAAAATCTGTTTTAACCGTCCAAAAACATGATTTTGTTGTGTTTTTGGACGGTTAAAAGCAGCTAGCTGAGAAGCTAAGCTACGAGCTAAGCTAACAGGCCGACCTCGGGGAAAAAAAAACTGTTTTGTTGAAGCTCCAAAATTCACGGTTGAAACCCGTGCCTTCATGTAAAATATTTTTTGCTGCAAAAAAAGGCTGAAAACCTGTTTACTGATTTTTTATTAAAAGCTTTGTGTGAAAAATGCTAAAGAGCTCAAACCACATTGAGCGTCCGCCATTTTGAGAACTGAAAAACAGGAATGAGAAACAGCCCATGTCACATCAAAGGGCCTTCCCCATATTTTCCTTAAAGAGACATGCTGCTCACTCCCTCACTATCCATCCTTCAGTTCAAACAGTCTTATACTGTCATCCAGTGGTCAAAAAGGCACTACACACAAACATTAACCAACATTTCTTCTTAAATTTGAAAATATCCATCCATCCATTATCTTCCGCTTATTCCGAAGTCGGGTCGCGGGGGCAGCAGCTTGAGCAGGGAGGCCCAGACATCTTTCCACAGCCTCTTCCAGCTCTTCTGGGAGGATTCCAAGGTGTTCCCAGGCCAACTGAGACACATAAGGTATGTTTACATGGACATAAGTAACCGGATCAAATGGCCGGTCGGAATAAAAGTGTGTCATGTAAACACTCCGTTCGCGTTATTTTTTGTGTATTTGGCGCGATCCGATATAATTTGCGATCAGAATTGAAACGGGTGGTTTACGCCGATCTGTAACCCGATCAGTAACCCGATCAGTGCGCATGCAAACACTTGATCTGTTTGTTTTTATCTGATCGTGAAAAACTGACCTGACTGCGCATGTGCGACTTTGCCATTTCTGCCTGGCTAACGCTAATAATATTAGCATGTCAGGGAAGCAAAAGTGGTCGGTGAGAGACACAACATTTCTACTAGAAACTTTGAAAGAGCTCAAAATGATCTGTATCACCTGTAGCTCAGTCAGGGAGCGCAGTAACGTCTCCACCGTCATTAAAACCTGTCGCGGGTCCATTTTGGGTGCTCAGGTTTGTTTACGTTCACCCCGGAAGTAGAACTTCTTCTTCGTTGGATTTTTTAAGGAGAGTTTACCACTCTGCACATGTCAGTACTGCTGTTCAGAACAAAGCCCGCTGCATGTAAACGCTCGTCATGAACAGATTGTGCCTATGTAAACAATACAATTGAATTATTTAATCTGAAAACATTTCAATCCGGTCAAAAAATGTTGCGCATGTAAACATAGCTACTGTCTCTCCAGTGTGTCCTGGGTCTTCCCCGGGGTCTCCTCCCAGTTGGACATGCCCGAAGCACCTCTTTAGGGAGACGCCCAGGGGGCATCCTTACCAGATGCCCGAAGCACCTCAACTGGCTCCTCTCGACGAGGAGGAGCAGAGGTTCTACTCCAAGTCTCTCCCGAATAACTGAACTTCTCACCTTGTCTCTAAGGGAGAGTCCAGCTACTCTGCGGAGAAAACTAATTTCAACCGCCTGTATCCATGATCTCATTCTTTCGGTCACTACCCAGAGCTCATGACCACAGGTGAGGGGAGGAACGTAGACCGACCGGTAAACAGAGAGCTTTGCCTTACAGCTCAGCGCTCTCTTCACCACAATGGACCGGTGCAGAGTCCACAATACTGCAGATGCTGCACAAATTTGTCTATCAATCTCTCGCTCCATTCTTCCCTCACACATGAACAAAACCCTGAGATACTTGAACTCCTCCACTTGAGGCAGAACCTCACCCTCGACCTGAAGAGAGCAATCCACCCTTTTCCGGTTGAGGACCATGGCCTAATTATTCTCAAATTTCAAACAATATTATCGTTTATCGCAAGAATTTCTGAGACGATTAATTGCCCAGCAAAATTTGTAATCGTGACAGGCCTAAATGTGTGGAAAATGTTTCGTATTCAGAGAATAATCCCGTATGTCTGAAATATAGGATTAAAGAACGCTAACAAAACTACTTGTGACAACTGATCGATACGCACTCCTTGTTTTGTTACAGATGCTTTATTTGCATATTTGTATCAAATTTGATGGTAATTGGCATTTTTGTGTTGTAGTTACAACTATAAATACAGTATTTAATTGTTTAGTTTTGAGAAAAGAGCCGCTGGAGCGGGACTAAAGAGCTACGTGGCGTCCAGAGCTGCAGATCCCAGTTCTAGCCACAAACAGAACTGAAATAAATAAAAAACAAAGCACTGTTCTACACTTCTGGCTGAGGACTCACTGTGGAGCGTAGGCCATGCAGAGACTCGCCAGGTAGCCGTTAGAGAAGGAGAACAGAGCCATGATGATGACGAAGGCACAGTCGTGACTGAGGAAGATGAGTTTGGAGTCCTTGATGTTACACATCATGATCAGAGGGACGAAGACCAGACGAGACAAGATAGCAACAGGAAACAGGCGGCTCCCCTTCGACGGCTGGAGGAACCAGAGGAATTCAGACATGAGAAAGAAAAGGTTTGTATTAACAGAACCAGTGTGGCATGTTTAATGAACACAAATATCCTGAAAAGACAGACTCACCCACTGCAGGAGAGAGGGAGCGCTGCGACCGGCCAAGTCCATAACGTTAAAAACGATGAAGCAGCAAACACACGTGAACACTTTCTCTGTTAAACACAGAAACACAGAAAGCAGGTGGAACTCCAAGCTCAAATAATAACCGTGTAGCACTTTTGAAATTCATATCTTTTAATTTTATGTTAAACACCACATAAAATCCACACGTTACTAATACTTTTGAAACATCAAAATATAAATATCCGGTCTAAACATTAATTCTGAAACCCCCCTTGCCCTTGTTCTGGTGATGCTCTGCGCTACTCCTGCTAGCTTCACATAGCGGGAGCCGCTGCACCTCCAGCTGTGAAATGACACGTATGGTGGGCACTTTTAAGTAGGTATACGGAAATTCCCAAGCTTTTCTAATGTGTATACGGCGTATACCAGCGTATCACGTAGACTACACCAGTGGTGCATGCAGACTACTTTCAAGTCATGGCCGTTCACTTTAACTTTCACTTTCAGAACAGCTGAAGCAGAGAACAATACTGTGTAGTGTATTTTGCTGAACGGAGCACGGTAAGTTTATTTAACTGATCTGTAAAATAAATAAATAAATAAATAAATAAATAAATTCTCTTCAATCCTCCAACCTGCTTGTCATTAGCTACGTGCCTCTCAAGATAGCAAGCTAACGTTTAGATAATCTAGCATAGGCTATTGCCTCGTAAAACTTTATCCAGGACAATAAATCTAACGTAAAGGTAAAATATATCAGTGTTAGTAACGATAACGTTGTCGTCTTCAATTAAATGTATTGTTTGTCTGAAATCTTTACTTCTCTCCAAAGAAAAAAAAAACTGCTGCAGTCAATACTAATTAAACCTTTACTTAAGAAGTCTGACCTTGATTCAGAAATTCTGGCCAACTATAGACCTATATCTAATCTAACTTTCATCTCAAAAATTCTAGAGAAAATAGTTGCAGGTCAGTTGCGTGAACATCTACAAAGAAATAATCTGTTTGAAGAGTTTCAGTCAGGGTTTAGAGCTCATCATAGCACAGAAACAGCACTAGTAAAAGTAACTAATGATATTCTCATGGCCTCAGACAATGGACTTGTGTCTATACTGGTCCCGTTAGACCTCAGTGCTGCATTTGATACAGTTGATCTCAATATTTTACTACAGAGGCTTGATATGATATTGGGATTACAGGAACGGCTCTAAAATGGTTTAAATCATATCTATCTGATAGATTCCAGTTTGTAAATGTAAATAATAAATCTTCTTCTTACACCAAAGTTAGTCATGAAGTTCCTCAGGGCTCTGTGCTTGGACAAATACTCTTTACTTTATAAATGCTCCCATTAGGTAAAGTTATTAAACAGCATGGAATACATTTTCATTGTTATGCTGATGACACACAATTATATTTGTCCATTAAACCCAATGAATCCAATCAGCTACTTAGACTACAAGCATGTCTTAAAGACATAAAAACCTGGATGACCCTTAATTTTCTCCTGTTGAACACAGACAAGACTGAGGTTTTGGTTTTTGGACCTGAACATCTTAGGAATGAATTTTTCAGTCTTTCTCCCTCCTTAGATGCACTAATCTGTCCTCCAGCTCTAATGTTAAAAATCTTGGTGTTATTTTTGATCAGGACATGTCTTTTATCCCCCACAATAAATATATTACTAGAACAGCTGTTGTGAATTGGCGCTATATAAATAAACTGAATTGAATTCTCTAATCTCTGTGCCACCACTGAGAGACTTTATAGTTCATAATCAAATAAAAAAATCTTAAAGCAAAAAACATCTAGAATAGTGTGTGGTTTTAAAACAAGTGCTAGTGGTGAGTTTTCTAACCTACCTCACCTGCTGTCAAGTGATTCACATCACTCTCATTATAAGAATAGAAAAAAACTGGCTTAGTTGAAGATCTATTGGAAAAAATTGCCGTTTTTATTGTGATTATATTATTTAAAGACTAAACAAGCAGACAATAGTTATAAAAAGTTAATCCTGGAGAGTTCTGTTTTTAAAATAATACACTAATCTGAGTGAATGTTAAGCAGCTCTTTTAAGCTCACTCTTTCAAATTAAAATTCAACAAGTGTCTCAATACGGATAAATTTAAAGCGGTCTCAAAATGGTTAACACACTAAATCCTTATTACAGTATACCCTTTGGATCCTTTAGATCCACATTAGATTCTTATAGACAGTTTCTTTTTACACCTTATATTTTAGCTATCTTTGGGTGTAACTGGGACCCTGAGTACAAGGTTTCATTCCACCTCATGTACCATATGAGATGTGAATGACAATAACGAGCCATGAACACCAACTTAAGTTACAATGAAAAGCCTTTGTATCGCATCTGTCTCTGTTGATTAGCGTCTTACCCCAGTTGGGGTTTGGGTAGACCGTCTGGACTCGGACTGTGATGACAGGAAACACCGACAGTGTCACAGCAAAGACACATGTTACACACAGAGCCATCAGCCAGATCTGGAGGACACAGAACACAGTCGCTAAATAATGCAACAAGACTGAAAGACGGAGCTGAGAACAGACGCTTGTGCAGAAGGCAGCGTGAATTTATAACAAACACCGTAGCCCACAAGTTTAACAACAGCCAAAATAAAACACTCACCATTAGGGTCTGCTTATTTGTTATAAATCCTAATTTAGCATTTTACAACCTCTACCATTTTTTATTACATTAAGAACTATTTTTAAGAAAAAAGTTTACCTTTTTAAAGACAGCGAAGACAGAAGAACGCTCCTGACCCTCGTCTGAATCACTGCACGTCTTATCGTTGGCCTCAACATCCTTTCCATTGCTGTTTAAGGCTTTTACGTCTTTAGAGAAGAGTAGACCGAGTCAGAGACAACCCCAGACTTCCCTGATTGATTCATTTAAAGAAGTAGAATCACTGCTGCAGAGCATCACTACTGAGTAAAAACCTTTGATCTCAAACACATGGAACTTTTCAGGTAATGAAACAAAAAGTACTTAAGATGATTAAACTGCAGAGTCTGTATATATATATATATATATATATACAGACTCTGC